AACTTGGGCCTCAGGAAGTCTGAGCAGATCTATTCCCCAATGTTTGGGCTATTATGGAAAGAGTATTGAGTGGGAGATAAAGGGCAAAATTATTGGTAGATTTTTTCTTTTTTGGTATTTAAAAGCAAGATTTAGGTTGGCACTGTGGATCACTAGGCTAATCCTCTGCCTGCGGCGCCGGCACCCAGGGTTCTAGTCCCGGTTGGGGTGCCAGATTCTGTCCCGGTTGTTCCTCTTCCAGTCTAGCTCTCTGCTGTGGCCTGGGAGGGCAGTGGAGGATGGCCCAGGTCCTTGGGCCCTGCACCCACATGGGAGACCAGGAGAAGCACCTGGCTCTTGGCTTCGGATCGGTGCAGCACATCAGCCATAGTGGACATTTGGTGGGGTGAACCAACGGAAGGAAGACCTTTCTCTCTGTCTCACTGTCTAACTCTGCCTGTTAAAAAAATAAAAAATAAAAGCAAGATTTATTTAAGTCAGAGACCTTCAGCCAGAGGGGGGTGCCAAGAGAGACAAAACCTGAAGGGGCTGGTGGTGCTAGGGCTTTTAAGCACAATTTTGGGGAAGAAGAAAACTTGAGAATTGACTTTACATTCAGTTACACGACAAAGACAAAACTCATCAAAAGACCTGATCTGTAATCTTATTTGCCAAGTGGTGGGATAGTAACTTTTTTACAGCAAACTGTGAGCTCAGAAGTATAGAATTGCCAATCCCTTGCTATTCTCATGGTAAAACTGGAAGCTCCCAAGGAGTGGGGCAGGCACTTGACCTTGCTAAAGGTAACTTTTGGGGAAAGGATTTTGCACCCTCAATTTCCACTAGGACCAACCTGACTCCTAACATTCCCATCCCCAAAAGAATGGACCCTAAGTTCTGTTAGGGTGTATGGGGCAATGACTGCTCTAGCTTCTTCAAACTGAGTGAGGGCAAAGTGTTCCAGCAGAAGGTGGCCTCTTGAGGGGATGCAGTGCCAGCATTCAGAAACTGCTTCCATCTGAGGTTTCATGTACATGGCCATCTAGAATTTCACTGTTTCAAGTCTGGAGAAAATGATGCTAACAAGCAGATTAAACTCACCGGTTCTCAAACAAAGGGCGAAGTCATTATTTGAGGACCTAAGAAAGGTACTGTCCAAGCCACAAAGTTTTCCCATTGAGAGGCAAATAGAAGCTGACAACAGGGGCTTGATAATAATCAGGTGGGCCTTAAGACATGGTATGAGGCCCAAACCTATCTATCTCTTTTCATGGGGTACTGGAAGAGACATCAAAAGGGAGGTGTGAATCTCCTTAGGGGAGGCACCCTGTTGACTTCCATTATATAGCTGGCCTGGGAGGAGAGCTGGCCTGAATAAGAGGTATGTGGCATCTCTAAAAGGAAATTTAGTTTGTGCAATGTTACTGACCCTACTTGGTCCTCACCTGAATAGCGGTGGTTACTTTGTAAGCTTACTTTGTAAGCTGGGTCGAGTGAAGGGCTTTTTACAGTTTAGGGTCAACAGAGTTTGTGGCTCTGACTCAGAAGTCCTTCAAACCCCAGAGCAGTTCCATTTCCAGTAACCCAGCTCTTGGCTGGCAGAGTTGCTAGGGCTCTTCATAAGCTGACTTCTGTGTCCATTTGTAGTCCTGGCTTTCCACATAGAAGCCCAATGCCATTTGGGGTGGACTGGCCTGTTGGATGTCTTTGATGGCGGACCACTGGGCAAAGCAGCCATTAATTAGCCTGCCAGCTATCATTACATTACTCTTACTGCCTAGCTTGCTATTCTTCCTTCTGGTCTTTGGTAAAATAGACCATGGAGGCAGCCTTTAATGTCAGCCAAGGGGGTACTCAGGCCCATCCCTAATCTTTGGTGGCCTGAGCTAGAAATCCATAGTCACAGGCATGTTCTGAGAGTGATTTTTCTGTGAGGTAGATAGTGCCCATGAGGAAAGCTATGTTCTTACTTAAAGATCCAACATGATGACCACCTTACCTATAAATTTTGAAGTCATTAGTAAAATTTTCTCTCCCTTAGTTTGGTTTGAAAAGGGAGGTTTTGCCTGTTTACTGTGCCTTGGCTTTATCTGCTTACAGACCTGTCCCAAAGTACTGAATACAATAGAAGTCAGGAAAAGGAAGTGCTTTGGAACCTAAAAGAGGACACACTTAAATACAGGAGGAACAATGTTTTAACTTCCATGAGCAGTAAACTTGATTTTTAGTGTTTGGAGAATACAAAACTATGGATGACAAATGACTTCAAATAGCCATGTTTAAAATTATAAACTCATTAACCAAGAAGAAGAGGCACTTGCTTACTCCACACGGTATTTTAGAAAGCACATGTAAGATTTTATAAAACATTTATCACTTTTAAGCTTCTGGACCTTTCTCATTAAGATAACCATCATGTCTGATAACAACACAACAAATCATTAGACTTTTTCTTGGACATTTGTATCAGTAGCATTTTACATTATCATAACTTAAAATTTAGTACCACTTCATATCTTGATAGGACATTTAATATAATCCAAATAGCCTTATTAGTTGGTATCTCTACAAGATGAGAGATATACTTTGATATTTCTAGGGGCCCAACTGGAAATATAAAAGTCCAAATAATCTGGAACTTTGATTTTTTGAATGCTTGTCAAAGATGCCAAGAAGGTTTAAAATATCTGGCAGAAATAGGAACCTTTAACATCATGACATAATATAGACCACCTTTGATCATTATTATAAAGTGATCACTCAAATGCTTTAGAATACATAAATATTTAAACAAATTGTAACTCTTAAAGCTCAGTTCTTTTTAAACAATTAGAACTTAACAGAGACATTAAGAGAATACAATAGATTACTTCAACAGAACACAAAATCTATGTCACTTTGGTCATTCCCAAAATTGAAATAAAACCTTAAATGTAAGAGTTAGTGAATGGAATCATCCCATAACGTGAAACAATTTTAACAGAGTCAGAACTAGTGAAGAGAAAATAGCTTATTGGAGCTGGCTAGAAAGCTGACAGAGAGTTGGCAATTAAACAAAAACTATTACAAAGAGATACTGCAGTTTTTAAACAGATTTTTAAAAATATTTATTTATTTATTTATTTGAAAGGCATAGTTACAGAGAGGCAGAGGTAGAGAGAGAAAGGTCTTCTATCTGCTGGTTCACTCCCCAAATGGCCGCAATGGCTGGAGCTGAGCTGAGCTGAAGCAGGAGCCTGGAGCTTCTTTCAGGTCTCCCATGAGGGTGCAGGGGTGCAAGGACTTGAGCCATCTTCTACTGCTTTCTCAGACCAATTCAGAGAGCTGGATCAGAAGTGGAGCAGCCAGGACTTGAACCAGTACCCATAAGGGATACCAGTCCTGGAGGCAGTGGCTTTACCCACCATGCCACAGTGCTGACCCCTTTAAAATAGATTTTAAGACTATTTCAAAATACTTACCAGCATATGTATTGCAAAACCCTTATTGCTTTAACAGAGGATCATATTCTAATTCTATGCTAAAGATAAATAAATTTAATAGCTTTTGTATCCCAAAATTTCTTTCTTTCATGACTTTCTATGACTTCCTCACACCTTCTTCAACTTACTGAAAACTTTATATCTTTTACATTCCAGTCCAGAGTAAACTAGCCATTAGGATAAAGTAATTCTTACAAACCATGTCCTTTCTTTACTCAAAAAAGTCTTTCCTTCTTAACCTTCCTTACCAAGAACACATTTTTTTATACTTGTGACCTTTTCCATCTGCTGATTTCCTTGATTTATATTTTGAAATAACCCTTTAAATGTCTCCAAATTAAGGCAACATTTTCTAAATTAAGTAACACATTGAATTTCAGCCTTAGTTACTTTCAAGCAGTGTTAAACTATTTGTCATATGTTAACAAACCCAAATAGTTTTTCCCATAGAATATAAGGTGCTAAGAGTACCAAAGTTTACATTTAGAGACATATATCTCATTTACCTTTACCCAATTTACATTTAGCAATTATACCCAGATGACTTAAGATGCTGATAATGTATCATACCTTTATCTAAATTAAGGTCAAAATTATATTTATATGGAATTCTAGTCCTTTCTATAAAACTCTAGCTATAAATCGGTGACATTAAACCTGAGATTGCAAAATCCACCTTAGAGGGGCTATAACAAGTGCTGATTACCCATTGCTATTTCATCAGAAACTAGTTCAACCAAGTTGAAAAGCAAGTTCTGCAACTTACAAAGCAATATTTTTTTTGACAGGCAGAGTTAGACAGTGAGAGAGAGAGAGACAGAAAGGTCTTCCTTCCATTGGTTCACCCCCCAAATGGCCGCTACGGCCAGTGTACTTCACCGATCTGAAGCCAGGAGCCAGGTGCCTCCTCCTGGTCTCCCATGTGGGTGCAGGGCCCAAGGACCTGTGCCATCCTCCACTGCCCTCCCGGGCCACAGCAGAGAGCTGGACTGGAAGAGGAGCAACCGGGACAGAATCCGGCGCCCCAACCGGGACTCGAACCCTGGGTGCTGGTGCCGCAGGCGGAGGATTAGCCTAGTGAGCCACGGCGCCGGCCTAATCCATATATATTCAATAGCATCTGAGGTTATTGGCCCCAGATTCTTGTCTAGAATCCCCTGGGCAAAATCGCAACAACGGGGGCAATGGTCACCTGATTAAAAAAAACTCTCCTCCACCAAGGATTAAAAGCCTCAACAATAGTCAAGGGATTAAAAGCCTCAACAATAGTGAAACACAATAACCAAGGGACCCTGATGGCTCACTAAATAGACCCAAGGACCCCGTGATGGACTCTGGAAAAGAATTCAATGCATATCGAAGCACTTGCAGGATAATAGAGGCAAGAGGCCATTCAGGAGACAGAGTTCTGAGACAGGTAGTCAGAGTAGAGGGGCTGACACTTTTCATAACTAACTTAGGCCTACTTCTCCACCCTCTAGGTTGTAATTAGTCCAGGTAGTGGTGCAGAAAAAGATGAGACTTTTTTTTTCAACTCAGGGATCAAAGAAATCTCAAAGTTTGCTTCCTGGCCATCCAGCAAGATGATCCAACATTGGCTGGAATTGAACTCGCATGGGATCTGAGTCACGTTGGAGTTGCTATACAAGTTACGGCACCAAAATGTCACAGGTGGAGAAAAGATTATCTTGGTTCTTTGTCTCACAGGGAACAAGAACTTCCAAGTAGACAAGGTAAAGACAAAAGCAAGATACATTTAAAAGCAAGATTTATTTAAGTCAGAGACCTTCAGCCAGAGTGGCCTGGAGGGGGGCTCCAAGAGAGGCAAAACCTGAAGGGGCTAGTGTTATTGGGGCTTTTTAAATTTTAACTTTAGATTGAATATTTTCCAGATCTTCAGATACAGAAATCAGAAGTCGGGGCTGGTGCTGTGGCATAGCAGCACCGGCATCCATATGGGCACATGTTCCAGTCCTGTCTGTTCCACTTCCAATCCAGCTCCCTGGTAATGAGCCTGGGAAAACAGCAGAAGATGATCCAAGTACTTGAGTCCCTGCACTCACATGAGAGATCCTGATGAAGCTCCTGGATCCTGGCTTTGTTCTGGCCCTAGCCCCAGCCATTGCAGCCATATACAGAGTGAACCAGTAGATGGAAGAGCTCGCTCGCTCGCTCACTCTCTCTCTCTCTCTCTGTAATTCTGCCTTTCAAGTAAATAAATAAATCTTTCTAAAAAACAGAAGTGGTGTTATATTTTTTCTTTAATTTTTTATTTCTAGAATTTTTGTTTTGGTTTTACTTTCAGAAGTTTATGGTATGTCTTGGCAAGAATTTCTTTAGGTTTTCCTATTTGACGTTCACACAGCTTGTTGAATTTGTGGGTTTATGTCTTTCAACAAATTAGGGAAATTTTCAATTCTTTCTCCTTTTCTTCTGGGACCTGACAATACGAATGTTGGATTTTTTGTTATTGTCCCACAAGTCCCTGAGACACTACTTTTTTTGCCCCAGTTTATTTCTTCAGATTGAGTAACTCCTACCTATATATTCCCAAATTCACTAATTCCATCTTCTTACATCTACACTTGACTATTGAATCTAACCTGTGAATTTAAAAAAAAACTTAGCATTCTAATTTTTTCAGTACTTTCTATTTCTTTATTATAATTTCTATTTCCTTACTGTGATTTCATGTTTTCATGTATTTCAAATGAACTTGTAATGCTTATTAAGTCATTTTATGATTTAAAATTCTTGTCGCTATAAAATCCTTGTCAGATAACTCCAACAACTGATTTGTTTTGGTGTTGGCATCAGTTGATTGTTTTTTATCATTAAAATTCTGATTTTCTTTTTCTTGGTATGGCAAGTGATTTTTAAAATTATATTTTAGACATTTTGTCTCTTATGTCAGTAGATTCTGGGTTCTAGTTAAAATTTTAATTTTAGCAGGTTAAGTTTAGCATCCAGGTTCTATTTGCCCACTTTTGTGAACTATGCTTTCAATGACAGTCTGATTTTCAGAACATTTCCAGTGCTATTCTGATCTGCTTGATCTGCCTTTTGCTACTGGGTCTCCCACTGGTCTCCACTGGTACTGCTTGAAGGACAAAAGAGGCTTCCTCAGGCAAGGCCACCTAGTGATTTCAAGTGAGAAATGGAATCATCTCTGCCCACTTCCCCTGGTCATTTCTTATCAGTAGACAGATTCAACCCCTTGCCTGTGGTGCTGGTCTGGCCTTATTTTGTGTGTTCTGCAGAATGAATGAACTTATCTCTACCACCTTCTATTGCTAAATTAGAGGTCAGAAGATTCCAGGCCTAGATTATTTTATCACTATTTATTATGATGATGATTTATGACTATTGAATGGTGTGATATAAGGCTCCCTGACTGTCTTTTTTATGAACCTGGGAGCTCCTAAGCAGCTCTACCTTTTCGAGTTCTCCTTTTTCTGTTACCATCATTCTTAGTGGGGGCAAAGGGAAAATTTATGAATTTATGCTTTCTTTCCTGGACAGAAAATCCTAAGTGTATATCCCTCCTTTACTTTTACTTGTACAACGAAAGCCATTTTAAGTGGTGACTAGAGTGTGGGACTGACTTTGGTTGAGGATCAACACAATATAGGATAGATCTTGAGAATGTACAAAGGGCTATGAAATTTACGTGAGAAACAGGAATGGTCTGAGCAACTTCATCTTATTTCTAGAGTAGTATGAGTCCTGTTTCAATTTAGCCATTTGTATAAATCCTTTGAACTATTGGAGCAATAACAGGAGGTCAGCCTACACTGCTTTGAGTATTTGAGGTAATTGTACACATTGTGGAAAGCTCTGGAAAAAGGCAGAGTAGAGGAATTCCCTGGATTTTGACCTGAAGTAAGTATGTAAAGTAGAGTTCAGATGAAGCATGTTGCAATGTTGTAAAAGACCTTTGCCCCATTGAGGAAGGCTACCTTATAGGGAAGCCTTATAAATTGTCTTATTGGTAAATTGCGTGCATTACCTGATTGTCAATTTGAAACTGGCATGTTATGGATAAGTATACCCAACACTGTAGAAAATAGAGTTTCAAAGGTAGAACTGAAACAGGATGGGCTATATGCTCTCCAAAGTGTCTTCTGGCTTTAAAATACCCCAGCAGATTGGGACAGTGACCTTTATAATCAGTTGTCATTTTGAGTCACCCTCTCAAAAGGTTTCCATTTCTGGAGGAACCATGACATAGCTTGTTGGGTTGAACTCAATTATTATTGCTATTTCTGGCCATGGTTACTGTTTTTCTCTTGGTTCTCTCAACTGATCTTTGTCTGCAGTGACTATGTGCATCTTTTGTTTTTTCCTTCTATATAGTCAGTATAGTTTGGGATTTTACCTTGATTTATCTTTGTAACTCATAAAATACAGAGTCCAGCATTGGAAATTATTATCTAAAGTGTGGTTTTATTAGTAAAGCTAGTAACTTTTATTTTTTTAAACTTCTATTTAATAAATATAAATTTCCAAAGTACAGCCTTTGGGTTACAGTGCCTCCCCCCACCCCATAACTTCCCTCTCACACGCAACCCTCCCATCTCCCGCTCCCTCTCCCATCCCATTCACATCAAGACTCTTTTTCAATTATCTTTATATACAGAAAATCAATTTAGTATATACTAAGTACAGATTTCAAGAGTTTGCACCCACACAGAAACACAAAGTATAAAGTACTGTTTGACTACTAGTCACACTGTTAAATCAAATAGTACAACACATCAAGGACAGAGAACCCACATGGGGAGTAAGTGCACAGTGACTCCTCTTGTGGATTTAACAATTGACACTCTTCTTTATGGCGTCAGTAATCACCCGAGGCTCTTGTCTTGAGTTCCCAAGGTTATGGAAGCCTTTTGAGTTCGACAACTCTGATCTGATTTAGACAATATAATAGTCAAAGTGACAGTTCTCTCCTCCCTTCAGAGAAAGGTACTTCCCTCCTTGATGGCCCATTCTTTCTGCTGGGATCTCACTCACAGAGATACTTCATTTAGGTTTTTTTTTGTTGGCCAGAATGTCTTGGCTTTCCATGCCTGAAACACTCCCATGGACTTTTTACCTGGATCCGAATGCCTTAAGGGCTGATCCTGAGGCCAGAGTGCTGTTTAGGACATCTGCCATTCTATGAGTCTGCTGTGTATCCCACTTCCCATGTTGGATCATTCTCTCCTTTTTAATTCTATCAGTATTAGCAATCACTAGTCTTGTTTATGCGATCCCTTTGACCCTTAATCCCATCACCATGATCAGTTATGAACTGAAACTGATCACTTTGACTAGTGAGATGGCGTTGGTACATGCCACCCTGCTGGGATTGTATTGGAATCCCTTGGCACATTTCTAACTCTACCATTTGGGGCAAGTCTGATTGACCATGTCCCAAATTGTACATCTCCTACCTCTCTTATTCCCACTCTTATATTTAACAGAGATCACTTTTCAGTTAAATTTAAACACCTAAGAATAATTGTGTGTTAATTAAAGAGTTCAACCAATAGTATTAAGTAGAACAAAAAAAATACTAAAAGGAATAAAGTATTAAGTTGTACCTCGACAGTCAGGACAAGGGCTGATCAAGACATTGTTTCTCATAGTGTCCATTTCACTTCAACAGGTTTCCCCTTTGGTACTCGGTTACTTGTCACCGATCAGGGAGAACATATGATATTTGTCCCTTTGGGACTGGCTTATTTTACTCAGCATAATGTTTTCTAGATTAATCCATCTTGTTGCAAATGACTGGATTTCATTTCTTTTACTGCTGCATAGTATAATATAGAGTACATATCCCATAATTTCTTTATCCAGTCTACTGTTGATGGGCATTTAGGTTGATTCCAAGTCTTAGCTATTGTGAATTGAGCTGCAATAAACATTGAGGTGCAGACAGCTCTTTTATTTGCCAATTTAATTTCCTTTGGGTACATTCCAAGGAGTGGGATGGCTGGGTTGTATGGTAGGGTTATATTCAGGTTTCTGAGGAATCTCCAGACTGACTTCCATAGTGGCTTGACCAGTTTGCATTCCCACCAACAGTGGGTTAGTGTCCCTTTTTCCCCACATCCTTGCCAGCTTCTGTTGTTGGTAGATTTCTGTATGTGAGCCATCCTAACGGGGGTGAGGGGAAACCTCATTGTGCTTTTGATTTCCATTTCCCTGATTGCTAGTGATCCTGAACATATTTTCATATGTCTGTTGGCCATTTGGATTTCCTCTTTTGAAAAATGTCTATTGAGGTCCTTGGCCCATCTCTTAAGTGGGTTGTTTGTTTTGTTGTTATGGAGTTTCTTGATCTCTTTGTATATTCTGCTTATTAATAAATATAAATTTCCAAAGTATAGCTTATGTATTACAATGCCCCCCCCATAACTTACCTCTCACACACAACCCTCCCATCTCCCACTCCCTCTCTCATTCCATTCGCATCAAGATTCATTTTCAATTCTTTATATACAGAAGATCAATTTAGTATATATTAAGTAAAGATTTCAACAGTTTCCAGCCACACAGAAGCACAAAGTATAAAGTACTGTTTGAGTACAGTTATACCGAAAATTCACATAGTACAACACATTAAGGACAGAGACCCTACATGAGGAGTAAGTGCATAGTGACTCCTGTTGTTGACTTAACAAATTGACACTCTTGTTTATGGCATCAGTAATCTCCCTAGGCTCTTGTCATGAGTTGCCAAGGCTATGGAAGCCTCTTGAGTTTGCCAACTTCGATCTTATTTAAACAAGGTCATAGTCAAAGTGGAAGTTCTCTCCTCCCTTCAGAGAAAGGTACCTCCTTCTTTTATGGCCCGTTCTTTCTCCTGGGATCTCGCAGAGATTCTTCATTTAGGTTTTTTTGTTGGCCAGAATGTCTTGGCTTTCCATGCCTGAAATACTCTCATGGGCTCTTCAGCCAGATATGAGTGCTTTAAGGACTAATTCAGAGACCAGAGTGCTGTTTAGGACATCTGCCATTTTATGAGTCTGCTGTGTATCCTGCTTCCCATGTTGGAATGTTCTCCCCTTTTTTATTCTATCAGTTAGTATTAGCAGACACAAGTCTTGTTTGTGTGATCCCTTTGACTCTTAGTCCTTTCATTATGATCAATTGTGAACTGAAATTGATCACTTGGACTAGTGAGATGGCATTGTTGTTTTGATTTTCATTTCCCTAATTGCTAGTGATCCTGAACATTTTTCATGTGTCTGTTGGCCATTTGGATTTCTTCTTTTGAAAAATATCTATTGAGGTCCTTGGCCCATCTCTTAAGTGGGTTGTTCGTTTTGTTGCCTGCGCCTATATATGTAGAGTTTCTCCAATGTTCTCTAATAAGTTGATGGTGTCGGGTCATAGATTTAAATCTTTAATCCATGTCGAGTGGATTTTTGTGTAAGGTGAAAGGTAGGGGTCTTGCTTCATGCTTCTGCATGTGGAAATCCAGTTTTCCCAGCACCATTTGTTGAATAGACTGTCCTTGCTCCAGGAATTGGTTTTAGATCCTGGATCAAATATAAGTTGGCTGTAGATGTTTGGGTTGATTTCTGGTGTTTCTATTGTGTTCCATTGGTCTATCCATCTGTTTCTGTACCAGTACCATGCTGTTTTTTATTAGAACTGCCCTGTAGTATGTCCTAAAATCTGGTATTGTGATGCCTCCATCTTTGTTTTTGTTGTACAAGATTGCTTTAGCTAGTCGAGGTCTCCTGTGCCTCCATATGAATTTTAGCATCATTTTTTCCAGATTTGAGAAGAATTTTTGGTATTTTGATTGGTATTGCATCGAATCTATAAATTGCTTTTGGGAGAATGGACATTTTGATGATATTGATTCTTCCAATCATGAGCATGGAAGATTTTTCCATTTTTTGGTATCCTCTTCTATTTCTTTCTTTAAGATTTTGTAATTTTCATCCCAGAGATCTTTAATGTCCTTGGTTAAGTTTATTTATTATTTGATTGCTTTTGTAGCAATTGTGAATGGGATTGATCTTAGAAGTTCTTCCTCAGCTGTGGCATTGCCTGTGTATACAAAGGCTGTTGATTTTTGTGCATTGATTTTATATCCTGCTACTTTGCCAAACTCTTCTATGAGTTCCAATAGTCTCTTAGTAGAGTTCTTTGGATCCCCCAGGTAAAGAATCATATCATCTGTAAAGAGGGATAGTTTGAGTTCTTTCTTCCCAATTTGTATCCCTTTAATTTCTTTTTCTTGTCTAATGGCTCTGGCTAAAACTTCCAGAACTATATTGAATAGCAGTGGTGAGAATGGGCATCCCTGTCTGGTACCAGGTCTCAGTGGAAATGCTTCCAACTTTTCCCCAATCAATAGGATGCTTGCATGGGTTTTTTATATTGCTTTGATTGTATTGAGGAATGTTCCATCTGTACCCAATTTTCTTAGAGTTTTCATCATGAAATGGTGTTGTATTTTTTTTTTGACAGGCAGAGTGGACAGTGAGAGAGAGAGACAGAGAGAAATGCCTTCCTTTGCCGTTGGTTCACCCTCCAATGGCAGCTGCGGCCAGCGCGCTGCGGCCGGCGCACTGCGCTGATCCGATGGCAGGAGCCAGGTACTTATCCTGGTCTCCCATGGGGTGCAGGGCCCAAGGACTTCGGCCATCCTCCACTGCACTCCCTGGCCACAGCAGAGAGCTGGCCTGGAAGAGGGGCAACCAGGACAGAATCCGGCGCCCCGAACGGGACTAGAACCTGGTGTGCCAGCGCCACAAGGTGGAGGATTAGCCTAGTGAGCCACGGCGCCGGCCTAATGGTTTTGTATTTTATCGAATGCTTTCTGTGCATCTATTGAGATAATCATATGGTGTTTCTTCTTCAGTTTGTTAATGTGGTGTATCACATTGATTGATTTGAAAAAGTTAAACCATTGGAGAGAAATCAAAATGAAATGAAGAATTCAATGTAACAAATGACTAACGCATTTGAGAGCCTTAAAATAGAATCAGTGAGATAAAAGAGAGAATATCGGACTTAGAAGACAGAGCACAGGAAAGTATATAGTCAAACCAAAGGAAAGAAGAGGAAATTAGAAATCTAGAAAATATTGTTGGGAATCTACACGACACTATTAAAAAAACCAACATTCGGGTTCTAGGAGTTCCTGAAGGCATGGAAAGAGAAAAAGGATTAGAAGGCCTTTTTAGTGAGATACTATAAGAACACTTCCCGGGTTTGGAGAAGGACAGAGACATCCAAGTACAGGAAGCCAATCCCCAATAAATGTGACCAAGAGATCCTCACCACAGCACATTGTAATCAAACTCACCACAGTGAAACATAAAGAAAAGATTCTAAAATGTGTAAGAGAAAAATGTCAGATTACTCTCAGAGGATCTCCAATTAGACTCACAGCTGACTTCTCATCAGAAACCCTACAGGCTTGGAGGGAATGGTGAGATATAGCCTGGGTACTAAGAGAGAAAAACTGCCAGCCCAGAATATTATATACTGCAAAGCTCTCATTTGTGAATGAAGGTGAAATAAAGACCTTTCATAGCAAACAGAAATTGGAAGAATTTGTCACCACTTTTCCAGCCCTGCAAAAGATGCTTAGAGATGTGTTACACACAGAAACAAAGAAACATGGCCATCAAAATGAAAGAAGGTAAAGGAAGAAAACCTCTCAGTAGGCCGGTGCCGCGGCTCACTAGGCTAATCCTCCGCCTAGCGGCGCCGGCACACCAGGTTCTAGTCCCGGTTGGGGCGCCGGATTCTGTCCCGGTTGCCCCTCTTCCAGGCCAGCTCTCTGCTGTGGCCAGGGAGTGCAGTGGAGGATGGCCCAGGTGCTTGGGCCCTGCACCCCATGGGAGACCAGGAAAAGCACCTGGCTCCTGGCTCCTGCCATTGGATCAGCGTGGTGCACCGGCCGCAGCACACCAGCCACGGCGGCCATTGGAGGGTGAACCAACGGCAAAGGAAGACCTTTCTCTCTGTCTCTCTCTCTCACTGTCCACTCTGCCTGTCAAAAAATAAAAATAAATAAATAAATAAATAAAAAGAAAACCTCTCAGTAAAAGTTCACAGGAAGTTCAAGGCATATATTAGAAATATCTTTGGGAAAATGGTAGGGCAAAGTCTCTACTTATCAATAGTCACATTGAATGTTTTTGGTCTTAACTCTCCAGATAAAAGACACAGACTTGTTGAATGGATTAAGGAACAAAAGCCATCTATTTGCTGCTTACAAGAAACACATCTTTCCAACAAAGATGCATTCAGACTGAAAGTGAAAGGTTGGAAAAATATATTCCATGCCAACAGAAACCATCTTAGTATCAGACAAAATAAATTTTAACACAAAAACTGTTAAGAGAGACAAAGAGGGGCACTATATAATGATTAAGGGATCAATTCAACAGGAAGATGTAATTATCATAAATGTATATGCACCCAATTACAGGGCACTGGTTCATTTAAAAGATATGTTAAGAGACTTAAAGGGAGACTTACTCCAATACAATAGTACTGGGGGACTTCAATACTCCACTCTCAGAAATAGACGGATCAACCAGACAGAAGATCAACAAGGAAACAGCAGATTTAATCGACACTATTGCCCAAATGGATCTAACAGGTATCTACAGAACTTTCAATCCTACATTTAAAGAATTTACATTCTTCTCAGCAGTGCATGGAACCTTCTCTAGGATTGACCACATACTAGGCCATAAAGAAAGTCTCAGCAAATTTAAAGTAATTAGAATCATACCATGCAGCTTCTCAGACCATAAAGGAATGAAGTTGGAAATTAGCAACTCAGGAATCCCTAGAGAGTATGCAAACACATGGAGACTGAACAACATGCTCCTGCATGAACAATGGGTCATTCAAGAAATCCAAAGAGAAATAAAAAACTTTCTGGAAGTAAATGAGGATAACAGCACAACATACCAAAACTTATGGGATACAGCAAAAGCAGTATTAAGGGGAAAGTTTATAGCAATAGGTGCCTACATCAAGAAATTGGAAAGGCACCAAATAAATGAGCTTTCAATGCATCTCAAGGATCTATAAAAACTTCAGCAAACCAGACCAAAAAATCTGTAGGAAAAGAGAAATAATAAAAATTAGAGAAGAAATCAACAGAATTGAATCCAAAAAAAATTACAAAAGATCAGCCAAGCCAAGAGCTGGTTTTTTGAAAAAATAAACAAAATTGACACCCCGTTGACTCAACTAACTAAAAAAAGAAGAGAAAAGACCCAAATCAAAAGTAAAATCAGAGATGAAAAAGAGAATGTAACAACAGACACCACAGAAATGAAAAGAGTCATCAGAAATTAGAACAAAGAGTTGTATGCCAGCAAACAGGGAAATCTATCAGAAATGGATAGATTCCTGGACACATGCAATCTACCTAAATTAAACCAGGAAGGCATAGAAAACCTAAACAGACCCATAACTGAGACAGAAATTGAATCAGTAATTAAGTCCCTCCCAACAAAGAAAAGACCAGGATTCACTGCTGAATTCTACCAGACATTTAAAGAAGAACTAACTCCAATTATTCTCAAACTATTCAGAACAATCAAAAAAGAGGGAATCCTCCTAAACTCTTTCTTTGAAGCCAGCATCACCTTAATCCCTAAGCCTGAAAAAGATGCAGCATTGAAAGAGAATTACAGACCAATATCCCTGATGAACATAGACTCAAAATCCTCAATAAAACTCTGGCCAATAGAATGCAACAACACATCAGAAAGATCATCCACCCAGGCCAAGTGGGATTTATCCCTGGTATGCATGGATGGTTCAATGTGTGCAAAACAATCAATGTGATACACCACATTAACAGACTGCAGAAGAAAAACCATATGATTATCTCAAGTGTGGTCTTAACAGCTCATAATAGAGTGGAACTGTCATCTTCCTAAATCTGAACATTATGTTTCAGCAAATGCGACCCAGCTTTACTTGACTTTTTGACAGCTTGCTGACTCATTTTAAACTCAGAGTCAACTAACTAGGCCTTAGTTTGCAAATCTATTCTGTAGCAAACTCCTATCCTTTCAGTAACATCCTTTTATTGTCTATTTTTGGAACTACATGCATAGGAACTGTGTGGAAATCTTTGAGGCAATATTTATTTTTAAAAGGTTCTTTTATTTGAAAGGCAGGGAATTGGGAAAGGATGAGGAAAAGTTAGAGATAGAGAGAGATTCTATTCTCTGGTTCACTCCCCAAAATGGCCACAGTTACCAGGGCTGGGCCAGGGTAAAGCCAGGAACGAGGAACTGCATCCAAGTCTCACACAGTGTGGCAGGGACCCAAGTCCTTGAGCCATCATCTCTTGTCTCCCAGGCACATTAGCAGGAAGTTGGATCAGAAGTGGAGGACTCAGGACTGTACCAGATACTCTGACATGTGATGTGGGCATAAGCATCAACTTAACCCAGTGTACTGCAATGCTCACCCCCAAAATTTAACTCTGATATGTAAAGCAGTTTCTTGGGATTGTGTCTCCAACATGTAAACAATCAGTTAAAGTTTTTTTTTTAATTTAGTTATTAATCTCCTTTCCTATTTGCCACACCTAATTCCTCACTTTCAGTCTTCAAATTTTTACTGTGTTTATGTCATAAAGGTAGTGGCTGGAATGCTCCATGTTCAGTTTCTTTGCACCTGTCTGTCGTGAGCCTTTGGGTCTCTTCCATACTGAGCTTGCTCAAAACCATGAACAGTTTGCTGTAATTGGCCAAGAACAACATGGACAGCTATGCCAGATAAGGCCAGACTAACGGGAACTTTGGCTCCAGGGTGTGGGTGGATTACCTAAGGGGTCAATAGGGATAAGCATCTGGGAGCCACCCCCTCCTGAGCTCTTAGTAAAGGCTCGCCCCATCTCAGAGGTCATCAGAAGGATGAGTCAGGAGGAATACTACAGCATGATTGAGTATTCCTGAACTCCAAACCCAAGCCCAGGCAGACAGACCATCTGAAGGGAATTTGGATTTATTGGCATCCAAGAACAATGTGGGTTTTACCACAGGAAGGACATTTTGGCTATGGAATGAGTGAGGGAGATGAGACTTTCTTTTTCAAGTCTGTAGCAATAGGCTAGCATTATGTACACATGGCATGCATGCTTATTTTCTAGTGCTCTCTGGCTGGAAGGCAGGGGAAGGGAAGATATATGTGTAAGAATTTTATGATAGATGGATCAGTTCCATCTTCATTGGGACTTCTCTGATGAAATCTATTCAATAAGTCAGGTTCTTCTCTGAAAACCTATCATTAAATTATTTGAAGCAGAACAGAAGACTAGCAGAATTTGTCGTCTTCTCTTTGTCTCTCCCTTCTTAAAAAATAGAAGGGAAGGGAGGGAAGGAGGGGGAGAGAAATATCACTCCCATATACTGATTGACTCCCCCAAATACCCACAATCGTCAGAGCTGGGCCAGAGATGGGGCCAGAGATGGAGCCATGAGCTGGAAATACAATCCAGGTCTCCCACATGGGTGGCAAGGACATGTCTACTCAGGTTCTCCTGGGTGGCCATTACTATTGCTTCTCAAGGTCTACATTAGCAGTAAACTGGAGTAAGGAGCTGAAGTTGGGCATCCGACCCAGGCACTCTGATAGGGGATGCAGGTGTCTTAACCCCTAGGCTAAATGTCCACTCCCTGACTCTCCCAGAAAAGGTTGTATACTCTCTATACATGCACTATTCAGTCTTCTTTCATCCTCTCCCAACACTCACACTTTTCCTGATTTACTACCCCATAGCATGAGGCATTTCTAATGGGTGTGTTCTTGCTTGATAATATCTTTCATAAGAACCTTATCACAGGGGCCAGTGCTGTGGCGTAGCAGGTAAAGCTGCAGCCTGTAGTGCTGGCATCCTATATGGGTGCTGGTTTGAGTCCTAGCTGCACCACTTCTGATCCAGCTCCCTGCTAATATGTCTGGGAAAGCAGCAGAAGATTGCTCAAGTCCTTGGGACCCTGCACCTACGTGAGAGACCTGGAAAACCTCCTGGATCTTGGCTTCTGATGGGCCCAGCTCTGATCATTGTGGCCCTTTGGGGACTGACCCAGCAGATGGAAGATTCATTCTCTCTCTCTCTCTCTTTCTCTATCTCTCTCCCTCTGCCTCTGCCTTTCTGTAACTCTACATTTCAAATAAATAAAAATTTTTTTTTAAAGAACCTTATCACAGAAGTCATTGACCAGGTAACCCGCCTCTGTCTTTTTTTTCTGGCATAGTTGTTGAGGTTTCTAGAGTTACTGTCCTCCTGAGACAGGGCAGGATTGGGAAGCAGCTTTTCTTAGCAGAAATACTGCTGACAGTTTAGGCGTTAGGAAACTTTTTGCTGGGAAATTGAGGTGAGAAATCATAAGGGGAGAAAAGGGTATGTTCTGATGATCTAAAACTATTGCAAAGTCACTTTTCCCAAAAGGTACATTGTATTACTTCTTGGATTGTTACGTTGTGGGGGTGGCAATGGGAGTGGGGTGTGGAGGTAGGATGAGTAACACTTTTGGAGCATAAGGCTCAAAAGCTCAGTGGAAATGCTACATTTTTTCCATTTTATGTCTAGTTGAGACTATATTAAAGAGAACAAAAATGAAAAAATGAAAACTACCTCCAGAAACTCTCCCTAGAACACTTTGCAATTGTTCTACCTTGTAGGAGACTCTAATAAAAGTCTAAGTTTAATCTCTTCATCTCTCCTTTATGAAAAAATCATGAGTTTTGTTTTTTCTTTAAGTGGTAGGATAAATTTCTTTGAGCTTAAAGGGAAAAATGGCATCAATAAGACTCATTTTGTTTCCTTCATTTTTCATACTGTCTTTCACCTTCGGTTAAAAGATGCATCCTGGAAACACTATTTAATAATCATAAAATAATGTAGAAGTCATAGAGTGAAGCGATTAAGAGTGTAGATTCACACAACAGAATGTCTGAGTTCAAATCTTGGCTCAGCTGCTTACTAAATTTATGGTCATGGACAAGGCATTTAATATTCCCACACCTTACTTTCCTCACCTCAAAAAAGGAGATAATAGCATCTGTCTCAGAGTTATTATATAAATTAAATCACACACACACACACACACTGCTTGATACTATATTTGTATTAACTCTTTTTTTTTTTAAGGGAAAGGGTTTATTGGGGGAAACCCAACAGACTAGAGGGAAGGAGCGAAGAGGGAAAAAGAGGGAGATGGAGAGTGTAAGAGAGAGATCCAGAGAGACATCAAAAGACAGAGAGAGACAGACAGACAGAGATCGGGAGACAGAGAGAAAGAGAGCCACATGTACAGGAACGGGTCCTTTTAAAACTGCCAGGGCGCAGGCAGGGAAGTAGGAGCAGTGAATCCCATTAGGATGGGAGTGGAGTTTGACACTGGTGGTTGGGCCCTGTGGCCACCTGGCTTCCAGTAATGAGGGTGGGGTGGGGTGGGGTGGTGTGGGCTAGAGTTTAGGATGGAGTCAGGGTGTAGATCGTGCCATAGATAAGACTGCACCATTTTACTAACATTCCCCTCTTTTGTTTTT